CCCCATTAAAAAGTGAGCAAAGGACATGAACAGACATTTTTCAAAAGAAGGCAAACAAATGGCCAACAAGCATATAAAAAATGCTCAACATCATTAATCATCAGAGAAATGCAAATTAAAACCACAATGAGGAATCATCTGATACTACTCAGAATGGCCATTATTACAGTAAAAAGAAAAAGCAGATGTGGGTGAGGATAAGGAGAAAAGGGAATGCTTATACATACACTGTTGTGGGGGGTGTAAATTAGTACAACCTCTATGGAAAGCAGTATGGAGATTTTTCAAAGAATTAAAAATACAAGTACCATTCAATCCAGCAATCTCACTACTAGGTAAAGAAATAATTATATCAAAAAAATACCTACATTCATATGTTTATTGCAGCACTATTCACAATAGCAAAGATATGGAATCAACCTAAGTGTATATAATGGATGACTGGATAAAGAAAATGTGCTATACATGTATATACATATATACATACATACATACACACACACACACATATATATATATATAAACATATACACACATATCATGGAATACTGCTTATCCATAAAAAACACAATGGAATTATGTCTTTTGCATAAAACTGGATGGAACTTGAGGCCATTATCTTAAATGAAACAAAGAGTCAAACGTTGTATGTTTTCACAAGTGGGAGCTAAATAATGTGTACACATGGACATAGAGTGCGAAACAATAGTCATTGGAGACTTGGAAGGGTTGTGGACTAGGAGGGTGGGAGCGGGATAAGGGATGAAAAATGACTTAAAGGGTATCATGTACACTGTCCAGGTGATGGTTACACTATAAGCCCAGACTTCACAGCTGTACACTATAGCCATGTGACAAAACTGCACTGATGGCCCCTAAATCTATAAAAAAAATTTTAAAGATTCATTCGTAAGTATAATAGATGAAAGAAGGAAAAACTGGGGTATTGGGGGCCATCAAGGACTGCTCAGTGGCCTGTTGGGATGAAAGCAGGAACCGGGGTGGTGGCCAGGGCAGGGGAATGGGGAGAGGGTTGAGGGCTATGCCAAGAGAGAATTGGGGATCATGGGGCTTGGAAACTGACTTGGGGGCAAAGGACAGGAAGAAGTTGCAGTGACTTCTGGGTTTCCAGCCTCCAGCGCTGAGAGGAAGGAGATGCCACCAGCAGAGGAGTAAAGTCAAGAGAAGCAGCAGGTTTGAGATGGAGGGCTCTGGGGACAAGGGCCCAGGTGAGATTAAGGCACATGGCACCTGCAGCCGTGCTGGGACACCCACAGCATGATGCCCAGTGTGCTGTGGGACAAGCAAAGCCGGAACCCCCAGAGGACAGAGAACCAAACTAGAATGCAAGAAGGCCCCCAGCCAGAAGTTTGGAAAATAACCAACACTTGCTGGGGAGGAAGAAGGGCCAGAAGATGTGTGATTAGAAAGGCAGGAGGAGAAACTCAAAGAGCCCAAGTCGAGAGGAACCAGGTGGGGAGAGGGGTGAGGAGCGAGCGCTGGCCAGCGGTGGGCACCGCTGGGCGTGGTAGAGAGATGATGCCACTGACACCACGGTCTCTGCTGCAGCTGCCGCCTGCCAGTCACATCCGAAGAACTGCTGCCATTTCTGCAGAGCCTGCCACTTACACGCCTCAGCATAGCCCCGCTTACAGATGAGGAAACTGAGTCTCAGAAACATGTGTAAGGGTATAAAAGTAACAAGTGCTGGAACCGAGCTGTGAGCCTGTGGTCCTCATCCTCCCAGTGAGAGGGCTCTGTTGGCTGGGCGTGGTGGCTCACGCCTGTAATCCCAGCACTTTGGGAGGGCAAGGCGGGAGGATTGCTGAAAGCCAGGAGTTCAAGACCAGCTTGGGCAATAGTGAGATCCTGTCTTTACAATTTTTTTAAAATTAGGCAGGCATGGTGGCACATGCCTGTAGTTCCAACTACTCAGGAGGCTGAGGCAGGAGGATCACTTGAGCTCAGGAGTTTCAGGCTATAGTGAACTATGATGATTCCATTGCCTAGGACGATGGAGTGAGACTCTGTCTCAAAAAACAAACAAACAAACAAAAAAAAAACAAAGAAGAAGAGGCTGTTGATGTCGGTATTTCAGAGGTTAGATTTCTACATCAGTTGGGATTCTTTCTCCTGCACAAATCCCAACAGGCTGGCTTAAGCAAAAAGGCTCAGTTAGGCAGAAAATGCAGCAGATAGGGATGTCACTGAGCGTGGCATGACTCAGGGATTCAGATGATGTCATCAGGGCCTTATTTTGAGTCCCTCCATCCCTCAGCTGCAGCTCCTCTGGGTTGGCACCACTCCCAGCAGGCTCTGTCCTCCCACAGTGGTAAAACAGCTACCAGCAGCCCAAGACCTTCGTTCTCTCGGGTTTAAACCCAACAGCACTCTCAGGCATCCCAGAAAAAAAAAAAACAAAACTCATGTATTCAGCCCCGAACAGATCCCGTAGGTTGGGAGTGAGAAAGGAAGTGGTTCTCTGGGAGGGGAATTGGGGTATCACGGCCGGAAGAAGGGAGAATGGATGCTAGAAGAGTGACAGAAACAACAGATGTTTGCTACAATGGCCTTTGCAGAAGGCATTTCCGGAGAATGGTGGGAAGGGACCTGGCCCTGAAACAGTTAAGCATCCAGGGCATGGTTAAGATCCCATGGATGTTCATCTGAGAAAATCGAGAAGCAGAGAATCGGGATGTAGCTGGAGGAGAAATGGGCACATGCCGTCTTGGATAGGATAAACCTGAGCATGTCTGCAAGCTGAGAAGACCCAAAGCAAGGGGGAGACAGGGCAGCTGTGCGAGATGCCGGGACAGGGATTGTCCCTCCGAGGGACCCAAGAGGGGGTTGGATGGAGAGCAGGGACAGCCCTGTGGGGCTATGCATGCTTCCGAGATGGGGGAAGAAGCTGGGAAATGCAAAAGAACCTGGGAAGCTTGCAGCGAATCACGGGCTCTTTTAAAGCAAGGCACATCTGCAGAGTCACCGTCTTCTTGCACCTAGGTTGAGCTTTACTTCCTGGGCTATTGGTCTTGTCACCGTACGTTCACACAAACCATTTCCTGTGAAATATGTGGCAGTTCCTCCCAACTCGTCAAGGAAATGGACCCATTTGCTTTCATTGCTGGTGCCCTTGACATCTATCTGGCAGGCAGAGGTAAGCGCGGGGCACTGTCCCCTCATGTGTGGCTGCACACGCCCGCTGTCTTCGGGGCTGAGCCTCTGGGCTGAGTTAAGACAGCCACAGCAGACCATAGGAAGAGTTCCAGGCATGATGGATCATACCTTCTCAAAGTGTCTATTCTTAGGATATAGCAAAGGACAACACAGGCCTGTGGGCATTCTTGTCGCCTGATCGATCACCTATGACTACTACTTCATAAGCATTTTTCTGCTCTTGGCCCTCAGCCAGACAGCTCAGAAAACCGTGGCTCCCTTTCCCAGCTTGCTCAAAATCTCGGCACTGAAAGTCATTCTTGATGTCATTGAGAAGTGAAAATGTTTTGAAGTCAGACTGGGCTGGGTTTGAATGCTAACTCTGCCATATACAGTCCGTGTGACCTTAGGCAAGTCCCTGCAACTCTTGGGGTGCCTTTGAGGTCTGTAGGTGCCGCCCCACACCCAGTTGGCCTCATGTGGTCCCCATTCTTGGTCACTTGCTTTGCTTCCCCATGAGAAGACACCACCTGCCTCTCAGCCCATTCCTGCAGTCAGAAAACTCTGGCCACCATCACTGTCTCCTGATGTCCGAACACCGCAGATTGACTGAGCCTGCCTTGGGACTGAGCACCGGGCTTTGTCAGGGCCTCCCTTGCATGTGACATGTGGCGTGGAGGGAGCCACAGACGCCCAGCATCCAGGGCCAACTCAACTTGGGTCCAAGAGGGCTCTGGCTTCCCCACTGGCTGCCCTACAGGCTGGGGAACATAACTGGGGAGTGTGGGGCATTGCCACCGTATGGGGCCAACTTAGAGCAATAAAAGATAGGAAGCTGGAAGAAGCCAGCCAATACACTGGTCACCTGCCTAGTCCACAGTGGACTGTTGGAGATGTAGAGGTCCTATCTGACCTTTCCAGCATCTTCTTCCCTGGTGGAGCAACCAGTGGTGTTTCCTTGCGACACTGTGGCCAGCTCAGCTGTGCATCACCTTGGAGCTGCTTCCCCTCTGACCCTATTTCATTTCCCTTGTCCTGTATTCATGCTTCCCTGGGGTTCATGCTCTCCCCACCCGGCAAAGTGTTAACAAGTAAGCAGTGCCCCGCATTCGATTTTCTGGACAACCCAAACCCAGTCTCTGAGCTTTAGTATCCTTATTTATAAAATAGAGCTAATGGTATCTATCTCCTAGGACTGCTCAGAAAATTAAAATGAGATCTTGTGTGTTAAACACCAAGCCTGGAGTGGCTCATTGTAGGTGCTCAATAAATATGAAAAGTATCATTATCAACAATTGTATATGATGATGATAGTTACCATTTGTTGGGCATCTGACATATATGCCTGTCATTTTATTTATGTTGTTGTTGACAGCAAGAACATCTTAAAAATGTAGAATAAGATTAAGTGCACTCTTCAGGCCAAATGTGAAGAGAAATCTCCATGCAGCGTTATTTGGGAATTGTATCTGATAATTAAGAAGGAAGGAGCTGATGTTTTAGATTGTTATATAGACACAATTCCGTAGATCAGTCTGATGATAATGAAGTACTGGAATTCAATTTATCATAGAAAAAAATTCAGAAGAATTAGCCTGGGCTAAAGAGGATATCTTTACCCCTTTTGATGCAATAATAGCAGAATAGCAGGAGGTAAGAATCAAGAAAAGTCCCTTGGTGAAGAATCTAACTTAAAAATAAATCGTCTTTCATTAGTCACAAAGTGGGGAATTGCCATGGGATAGACACAACAATTTCACTATGAAGTCACTTTTCTTAAAAAAAATATATGTTAAAAAAAAAAAATATATATATATATATATGTTAAAGTTGCATTATTACTTAAGCAGAATAAATTTGGAGAAAATAATAATAGCTAAACTTATTGAAAATAGATTCCACACCCAGTGCTGTGCTAAGCTCTTTGCACATTTTATCTCATTCTATCCCTCTAAATCTTTAAGGTGCCAAGTAGTCTCAGCTCCCCACAGGTACAAATAAGGAAGCTCAGGGTCTGTGGGAATTGGCAGAAATGGGGGGGGGGAGACTTTGTGTTAGAAGAGTGATAAGCTAGAAGTGGCTGCTCAAAAGGGTAGAGCAATGAGAACGTGATTTAAAAACTAGTGTTGACAGAGGAGTGTCGACAGTTTTTCGGGGCAGAAAGACTTGATAGTCCTCCTTGGCCAGACCTTTCACATGGGGTGCCCCTGGACCCTGGAGAAGACTGCTGTCGAGGGGAGGAGGTGGTAGGGAGTGCTTAGAATTGGGTGTGAAGTTAGATTAGAGCATGGTGTTCCACAGCTTTAAAAATCGGAAATGATTGGCATGGCATAGTATTCCATGGCACAGTGTAAATGTTAGCTGGCCTGGGAGTACATTAGCCTCCGGTCCAGGTAATGACCGCATGGCACATGCCAAGCACAAGCTGAAATGGTGCAATGGGCTGGTCCACTTTGGTCTACTACCGGTATCGGTTCTAGTTCTCTATAGGGCCCCTGGGTTCTAGCTGGGCACACAGTCTCCTTCACACATAAAGACCACATTTTGCAGCCTCCTTTTGTACACAGGCATGGCTATATGCCTTGGTCTGGCCAATGGGGTGTAAGAAGAAAGGTTCCAGGAGCTGTTTCCTTCCCATCTCCTTCCCTCTGCTTCTTGGAACACTGGAGCGACAGCCAGAGTTCATTCTGGATGGTGAGGACAAGCATGGTGCCCTCAGGATGGGGAAGCAGAAAGCCACAAGCTGCCTGGGCCCTGTGGGCTTGATGGGACTGGGCTGCTGTGGCCCAGGACCACCCACCCCTGAGCTTGGACGTGATGGAGCCAAGTGTCCATCTGGTTCCAATGCCCACGAGTGTGGGGTTTTCTATTTCTTTCAGCCAACTGAATTCTGATTTGCTCTTGGGTAGACTAGACAGAGTTCCATAATCAATGTGGCATCTTCTTTCTCTTTGGATGATAAAGACAAGACACCTTCACTCTTTCAGTCTCCCTCCCAGGAATCCTTAAAGGGCCTTTTGCAGCATGAGGACTCAGCCCCACCTGGGGATAGACGTTGCCAACAGGCATGTACTCTGGGCCTCGCTCAGACGGGGCTTATGTGGTTTTACTGGATCTGTCGCCAAGGAGGCCAAGACATCTTTGGCACTTGTGCTTCCCTCGGCCAGGCTTCCTCTGTTTTCCCAACTTGCGGTGGCTCTGCCCACGACATGCTTCTGTCCGTGGTTGAAACAGCTGCCACTGGACACCGCCATCCTTCCATGTCCAGTTCATGCGTCACCTTCTCAGAGCAGCTGTCCCCAACACGGTGGGGGGAAACTCTCTACTGTTGTCGTCACGTTTTCATCGCCTGCAAAGGCATCGCAGCTTCCTGCTTCCTCCCAGGGAGGCAGTCTGTCACAGCCAGCCATGCGGGTGTGTATGCAGTGCCTGCTCCTCGCCAGGCCACCTGCTAGTGACTAGGACACACCTGTCTGTCTCCCGCCCTCATGGCGTTTGTAGTCTGGGGACAAAGAAAACCAACAAAAATGCAATTAAAAACTATGACAGACTTTATGAAGGAGAACAGAATGGGTGCTGTGCAGAAGAGCCAACTTGGGGGTGGGATTGTTCACATGGTCTTGGTGGAAGAATAATGCAAGAAGTCCTATCCATGCTGAAATCAGCAATGAAGACTTCAGGGTTGGTATCGGGCAGGCTTGGATTTGCACCCTGGCTGCACTGCTTCTTAGCTGTGTGGCGTTAGGCCAGTGGCTTCACCTCTCTGAGCCTGAGATAGGTAATAACACCCATCTCATTAAGCTGGCTGTACAGTGCCTGCCACATAGCCATGCAGCGAGCACTCCATAAATGGGGTCTATTTTTGAAGGTCTATCATCCACCCAGAATATAGATGCTCTGAGGACAGATCCGTCCCCTTATTCATCTGTGCACCCCAGGCATAGACTATGTAGCTGATGTCCCCCAAGGCTGTCTAAATAATAACAGCCAACATTCCCTGGGCTCTCACTGTGTGCCCAGCACTGTTGCTAGCACGCCACGGGCATTCACTCATTGAACACTGGAACTAATTCCCTGCGGGTGGTGCTACTGTCACTCCTATTTGGTGGCGAAGCAGTGAAGGCCCATGGAGACTGGGTGACGTGCTCGGGTTCATATCATCGGCAGGTAGAGGAACCGGTGCTCAGCCCCAGGCAGCCTGGCGCCCAGAGCCACTGCGTTTCGTTCCCCCTGCAGGGGACGAAGGAAATCTGTCCATCCTGCAAAGAAATGCAGCCTCCCCTTTGGCCTCGACCTTATAGACTCTCCCAAAAAAATAGAATTGGGGAAATACATTCCCCCTCAAATTATATAATAATTATTTCAATATTCTCTTATTAGCGCTGGGTAAATGAAGAAGTGAAATAAACAGAATCAAATTATTCACCTCTCAGCTGGCTGTCTCTACCGGGGCTCTCCTGGGGGCTCTGGGTTCCAGGGCACGAGTGCCTGCCCAGAGCAACGTCTCTCCCCACGCCCACCCTCCAGTCTGCGGGCTCCTTACCCATTCTCCGTGGGTCCGCCCTGCCTCTGGCAAGTTCTGCTGTCTTCTTTCCGCGTTCCCTCCTATTAAAACACCCTCACCCGAAGGCATCCCAGAGATGAGAAGTGCACCTGCCAACTCACCCCTGGAAGCCGAAATGCGTAAATTGCTTCTTTTATTTTCAAAATAGTGTATGTTATTTGGAATGGAGAATGGCCTCACCTTGCCCTCCTGGGCCTGCTGTTCTGGGATGTTTTGTTAGAAACAACGGGAGAGGATAATGCCTCACATCCCCACTGCTCCTCTTGCTACAGAAATTGTAATAAACTGCCAAGAGTGCAGGCACCACCACAGCTCTCTTGATTGAGGTTTCCCGAGGCGTAGGGATGCATCTGCCTTTAGCTGCCCATCCTCAATTAATTACCCGATTATTGTGGGGGACGGTTGATGAGGCAAGACCTTAGGCAACCCCAAATGGCAGTGTCGAAATGGTCACATCATCCCCAGGGGCCCCATCTGACAACTGATGGGTGTGCTCTTTTCTTGACTCAAAGCTGAGCCTGAGCCGAGGGAATGGTGAGGGGGTGCCAGGCTAGCAGGGTGGAGAAGAGGGCAAGGAATATGGGGGTGATGCTAGAATGACCAAGACCATTTCCCTAGAGATATACAACCCAGTGAATGAATTAGTATTAATCGAAGTTCTATGAAGGGGTTTAACTCTGCATTAGGTTTTAAGCATAGAGCAGTATGTTAGAATCCAAAGGCCTTCTTTCAACTTCCAATTCCAGCCATTGACCAAAAGGCAGTGGGATTTGCTGAGGTTCAGGTATTTAGTCTGTGAAACAGGATGACAGTGTTTCTCATAGGACATCTTAGACCAGGTGCATGTGGTTGCTGTAATAGTAATAGGAATCCATTTATGCCGACTTCATTAAGTCACAAGCTGTTGGAAGGATATAGTGGTGTGTGTTTCAAGGGCAGGAAGCCCTTCCTCATGGGGGGCTGGCATTGGGAACTGAGATGCTGTTCTGAATCGTGTTCACTGTGCTTTCTTCCTCTTTTTCTCTTTCTCATCTCTCTCTCTTTTTCCCTGCTTTTCTCTGTGTATTTGCTAATTCTTCTCCTCCCTCCCCTCTCTGCTTCTCTATGTATTATTAATATAAGGTGGAAAATAGATATTCCAATATGGTACCATTGAAGCCTGGGTCTGTACCATCATGAGCCAACAGTGAAATTTTCTAGTCCATGTTACAAATGGCAAAGCAAGGGAATATGGGCACCTGGCTGCAATTAATGGGGCTGCAGCTAATGGATGAGACCATGCAGCCTGCTGCTCGCCCAGTGTGGCCGTGGGGCCAGTGGCCGTGAGAGCGGAGCGTGGGCAGATGTTCTCGGAGGGGGCCCGGGGCGGAGAGCGATGGAGGGCCACCCTGCACGCTGGGCCTCTGTAAGGAGTAAGCCAGATAATGGGAGATTTCTCAGTGCAGCCGGTGAGAGCTCAGTGTTCAGGGGGTGCTAGCACGATGTGCACTGTGAAAGCAGCTTACAATTCAATGCGAGGGAAGAAACGGCCCTGCACTGAGTAGGTGCTTTTTTTCATTTTGCAAGGACTGTCTTATGCTCCCATCTCCCACATAAGGTGCCTGGCCCATCATCAATGCTCAATACATGCTTACTGCATGGAGCAGAACGAGAAGGGTGGCATTAAACAAGAGCCTACAAGAGAGTAGGAATTAAACTCTCCATTCTAGGGCACTACTTTAAAGACACTGTCATCCTTCAGGGTTGCTATGAAGTGGTCAGTGGACCTCAGCAGTTGGCAGAGAGATTATGCAAGAAATGGGTACCCATGTTGCCTTAAGGATGTACAACGTGGGGAGGCATCCAGAAGAAAGAATAGAATTCCAGAAAAACAAACAATATGCGAATGACGGTGCAGAGCAGAGCCAAGGTGAGCCCAGTGTGCTCGAAGAGTGACAGATGGGACCAAAGGGAGAATGAGTGATGGGTCACATGAGAGCAACATTGGGTGACAAAGAGAGATTATTCCAGAGACCACCAAGAAGCAGGCAGAGATGGCCAAGTGCAGGAAAACAGAGCACCACTGAAGGCAACTACAGAGTGAGGCTGCCAGCCCCTGCCCTCTCCAACCCTTCTTAGCTGCAGGGTCCAATCCTGCCCAATGTCTGTGTCAAAAAAACCCAGAGCTTAAGAAACACCATTCCCATTTGCAGGAGGGGGCTGGAGTTGTCCTGCTGCCTGAGCCCAAGGATCCCACAGCCCACTGAGCTGCAGACCTCATCTCATGTGTCTTTATGGGACAAGGACATAAAAGGGGGCCTCTGCTTCTGGGGGTCTTGGCTTCCCCTCCATCCCACTGCCCTGACTCCTATAGCCTGTTGTGTTGAGATCCTGACTCTGCCTCAGCTTGGCCAGCCCCCTCTCCCAAGGACCCAATCTTAGCTCTCTATACCCAGCTCTTGTTAAGGGCTAATCATATCCAAGGCAGAGGCTAAAACCCAAGGGAGCATCTTTCACCTGATTGAAAGGAGATCCTGCCCAGGAAATCAGTCACCCCGGAACATCAGTCAAGCCAGTGATGCCCCGACTTGGGCATGTCCCATGGACTCTAATTTAGAGTCCAAGGCTTGGCAGTCAGAGCAGTCACTCTGTGCATGGCCTTGCTCTGTGCCAACGAGGAGGTTCCTCCTTAAGATCCAAGCAGGTCTTGACACCAAAGCCCCGAGCTGATGTAGGATGTCTTTTCATCTAAATGATGCAAAGTCTTAGAGAAGTGCGGAGTGTCCTGTAGGATCTTTACATTCCAGCAGCCACATAGGAGAAGGTGAATGAAACAACAGTCTCGAGAGAGATTGAGTGGTGTATAGTTTTTGTCAGCAGGGTGGTCTGAACACAATCGCAGGTGTTTATAGAATACACAGTGAAGGGAGTGCCTTCACCCTGAACCTATCCAAGTGCCAACTGGTTTCACATAAGTGGAGCAGGTGTTGCTGCCATGCCGGTATCTCCTCTAGGTTTCCCAGGATGTTGGGGCGAAATATGAATACTTGCTCAGCATTGGTGAGTGGCCCAAGCTTTCCTGGGTGGACTTTTCAGGATGGCTGTAGGTCTGTTGGCTGGAAAAGGCATCCAGGCCCCTGACAAAGAAGTAGATGTCAGCCACGTGCCAGCCTGTTTAAAGAACATCAGCCTGCAACCACCCTCACAGACCGGTCCCTAATCATTCCCCATGTGTCTGATGTCAGACTAGCATGTTGCCCTGCCCCAGCGGGTAGGGACTGGCTTCAGGGCACTCCAGTGACAACCACCTTTCTCCTGTTTATGATTGCAGATGATGGGTGGTCCACTGAGTCCCCTATCTACAAGTTCAAACCCCGCATTAGCATTTTTCTCTTTCTGGCCTCCCTGCTTTACATATTATCTGGCCTCACACATCACTCCTCTAGTCCGGGCTCTGAGCACGCCTTATCTGCGCTGGCACATATTTCTCTGGAGCCGGAAGCGGAGGAGGACGGGTGTGACGAGAGGAAAAGAGAGCCGCATGGGTTGATGACTCGCTCTGGCCTGCGGCGAATGAGGATTTTCTGGCTGTCCAATAACAGAATCTCCAGTGAGACGTGGGATCAGTCGTGTCCGCGCCAGGGCTGGTCTGTGTGTCTGTGAGGGGCAGGGCCCTCTGCGTGCTCTGGTCACTAGTGTGGTGGCAAGACCCAGCGCTGCAGAGCCATCCTGGTGTGATGCCAGTCCCAGCCCCACCCATTCATAGTTAGGAAAACACTTGCCTTCCAGGAGCCTTGGTTTCCTTTCCTGAAGGGAGGAACACTGATTCTTACCTCCTGGTGAAAAAAAAAGAAATCTTAAACTAGACAGCTCAAACAAATTGCCTGCTACATGAAACTACTTCATACACTCAACTATTTTTTTACCCCAAACCAAACAGCTGAGGCCAGCGATGGGTCACCAAGCCTGTGCGCATTTGAGGGGAGTCCTCTGTCTGAGATTGTCCATGCCACCCAAGATTGTCCACACAAGTGAGCATGTCAGAATGACTTCGGCCCACTCACAGGGGAAGAACATTCTATCAGTAGGGCTGTTAGCCTTCCACTCAGCCCGTAAGAAGGCTGTTCTGGCAATGGGCTGAGACCCACAGAAGAGGCAATGCTATGGCTCTTAAATCGCTTTAGGGGAGAAATCACCATGGCAACTGAGCCTACAAGAGTAGTGTGGCTCTTGCATAGGGTCCTCCCAGAAGGCTGTGCGTGCTCTTCAGGTGGTTCCAATTCATCGCAAGGAACCATGCCTCAGGTTCCAAAGGCAGCATCCGTCGGTTCCAACGAGAGGGATGTGGAAAAGGCTGAACGTAGTGGCTCTTACGCTGCCTCTTGAGACTCCTACCTCTGATCCCATGGCCCACGGCACTCCTCTGGGTTAGACCAGTGGTCCTCAACTGGGCGCGTGACAGGGACTTTTTAAAAACATGGACACTTTAACTCTTCCTCAGCACATTTGGGTCCGACTCTGTGGGGACAGATTCCAGATATCTGTATTTTTAAAGTTCCCCGGATGATTCTAACACGCAGGCGGGGTGGAGAACCACAACTTACTTAATGCAAGTGCTTCTCAAAGTTTAAAGTGCGTAGGTTAAACGTAAATCCCAAACCACGTAGGGATCTTGTTCGGTTATAGATCCTGATTCTGTAGGTCTGGGGTGAGACCTGAGACTCTGCCTTTCTAGCAAGTTCTTGGGTGGTGCTGACGTCGCTGATCTGGGACCACACTTGAGTAGCAAGGCTCTACAGAGTTCCTCATTGCCACAGCTGTGGCTCCTTAGACCCCAGCTGCAGATTTAGTCCTACACTCCTTTTTAGGACCAACCTGGGGCAGGCAAAAGCTTACCCACCTTGAGTCCCTCCTCCTGGACTCGGGACCAAGCCCCCTGGCTATGAGTCTCACCCATCAGCAGCAGGTGTTTTAGAAATCGAAATCGAAATCTCATATCCAAACCGCTGGTCATTTCATTCAGCTTTCTATTTCCAAATGTCATCATCTACTCAAACGGGTACCCACAGAACACTGTGTACAGAATTTTAATAGCTGGGAAGCAAACAGAAAACCCTCCCTGTTTAAATACACTTGGAAATTCTGGTCTAAACAAATTTGAAATTTGAATACGTTTCTTTACTGTAGCATTTATCAGGGCCTTTAATATGCAAAGATGTGTTCTGAAACCTAAAGTGTGCAGGGCTTTCTAAACTTGTTTGGCAACAAAATAACTTTATTTGTGGGACACTTAATAACATTTCATAGACCTGGAGAGCTATAAAACCCGTTCTGGGAAGTGCTACTCTGGATTTATTTCTACAGGCTTGAGATAAGCAGAGGGACAGATTAGCATGGAGATTGCTGGCTGAAATTTTCTATCAGCACGCGAGAAAGGAGAACCCTCCATGGAACATCGTAAATTGTTCATGTGTCTGCAGCCGTGCGAGAGCAAGACAGGGCCTGAGAAAAGGAAGGTCAAAGGTGGTCATTTGCCATGGGTTTGAGAAATAAGGGGGATAATTTTTATGGCTGCTGGAAAGGAATAAATTGTTACTGTAGTGTTTATGGCACTACGGAGAAAGGTTGAAACGAAAACATTCTTGCAAAGTCAAAGGTCCCAGGAGACGGGCCAATGGAATGGACGCTGTTCTTTTGAGGATTTCTTCCCTCCGTGTTTACTGTTTCTGAAATATTAAAGATTCTTGAACTAATGGAGAATGCAAACAGGGACACACATCCCATGTGGAAAGTGGCAGGGTGCTTGCTGTGAATGTTTGTTTCTTCAGATGTGTCTGACGTTAATTTCCTGGAAATTGATGCATTTGGAGAAATGGCAGCATCCTAACAGTTCTGGCTGAGTTTTCTGCTCTCACATTATGTTCCTGGAAGAATTGGGGTCTTGCTGCTTTTCCCCGAAAAACATGGGTTCCTAGTGAACTCTGTCCGGCCCATTGATTAGAAACCTGTTATTCATGGGTAGGAAACCCAGATGTTGACTAACTGGCACTGACTGTTGGAATCCTTGCTTGCTTACAAGACGGAGGTTGGGCAGTGCCGGAACATGCCCCAGCCTCCCAGCGTGGGATGCTCGTGTCTGGGCCCGGCCGCACCTGCTGGATGCAGGGCCACAAGATCAGGACAGAGATGGGTCATCACTGCCCACCACGATGCTGAAGTGGAAGTACTTCTTTGGAATTTTGATATGTACTTTAAAATAGAGATGGCCTCAAAATTAGGAGCCCCTGGCATTAGCCAAATGGGAAGACGTGCATTTTGGGATGCACCCTCGTTTGTTTTGGCATGCACTGGATTTTATACTGTTATGCTGGATTTGTTTTCCTTCCAGGTGCTCTGTTGGTTAAGGCTTAGTCTCACTTAATAGAAATGACTCTGAGTAGTTGAAGGGAAGGGGATTTATTACTAGGTTTTAGGTGGCTTACCAAATAATTGGTAGGGCCGAAGGATCAGGATACGCTTTCAGCTCTCAGCGACAATCCCCAGTTCTGAGAGTCACACCTCCTGCTGCGGCACAGCCTCCTGGCCTCTCACGGGCTCTGCCCTGCCTTTTCTCCTGAGAACTCAGATTCTAATTTAGTTCTTCACAAGTGCATCTGCTGGAGAGAGCTAGCTCACAGCCAGATGCCCAGGTATGAGACAGTCTGGGAAATGTAGTTCCTCCTATTGTGAAAGGCACATGAAAAGGAAGCCTGAATGGTTGCCAAGTGAGCCAATCTACCATCCGTGCCAGCGGAGTAATAGAGCACAGTCACAATATCATTCTCATTAAATGATTGGTGATAAATGGAACCGCAAGGCAAACACTGAACTACTGATTGGAAATGCAGTGCCACTGATCTGAGCAAAGCTGCCAAGACGATTTGTCAAAGTCCTGGAAACCAGGTCAACATCACTCCTATTTACCAATATCACAATGCTGTACCATCAAAATTCTGCACCATTAGAATTCTGGAACTTAAGGGGACTTTGAGGTGGAACTGGTTCGGACCTCTCATTTCAGAGAGCTCGTCAGGCGGTTTGCTAGCTCTTCATTGTCAAACCGTTTCCCAGCTCCAAGGGTGGGGGAAGGGTTTGCAGGAAATGTGCCTTATTCATTTTTTTATTCCCCCATCCCAGTGCTGAGCCTGATTCCTGGCATATGGTAGGTGCTACATGATCAAAGAGGGAGGGGAAAGGGAGGAAGGGAGGAAGAAAGTCAGGCCCATACAGGAGAATCTGCCTAAACTGGGCCTCACCCACAGACTTTGGGGAAGAACCAAGTGAAAGTCTAGATAGATGTTCTAGCTCTGTAGAAGCCCGTCCCTTCCCAGTGGGAGGCGGATAAACTGGGCACTGGCGATAAGGCTGAGAAAGTGGCTGTGGACGCTGTTGCTGTGGCAATCCCCAAAGTTAGGAGGGGGTGAGGCCAGGCAGGAGGCGGGAGGGAGCTACAGGTGGGAGTGATGGTGAGAAGAGAGAGACTCCTGGAGAGGTGCAGGGGCTGGAGTGCAAGGTCTCTGCGAACCTGGGAAGGGAGGAAGAGGGGCTGTGGGTCACAGAAGCAAAAGGGAGGGGTCTGGTCCTAGAGGCCCACTGACAAAGGATGTTACCCTTAAGGTTGGATTTTTTTTTTCTGGATTCGTTTGAGCCTAATGCATAAAAGAGGCACCTAAGTCCAAAGAGCTACTGCCAGGAACCAGGAGCCTGGAAACTGTGGGCCAGGCTACCTGTTGCCCCGGCTTGCTTTGTGCTGCCTCCTGCTGTCTGTAGCCAAGGCTGGTGGAAGGAATGCTCATCACACATCGCCTCCCAGCTGGAAGCTTCCAGCCTCCTGCATGGGAGTCAGCTATGGCTCATGGTATAGCCCAGGTAACAGTTAAATGGTTAAAGGGGCAGCCCACTCTCCTCCCTAGACGCCCCCCAACTTCTTCAGCATCTTATGGGCTGATTATACCTCACTGGGTATGTATAAAACTGTCTATTAGTGAGTCTTTATTGCAACTCAGTAAGAAAATTTTATGAAAATAGACCAAGCATTGCTGTTTTGAGGTTAAGTTCTTTTCATTAGGCTGATGAATAACCTAATAGGGATTTTTCTAACTTGTCATGAGTCAAAATAATGCAGTTACTATTTAGATTTCTATTCCCACCCTGGCAGTAATGCACAATACACAGGAAGGTGTTTATTTTAATGAGCACATACTGATTCTTGGTGTTGGGAGGGTATGTGGATGTTTGCTAGATGTATAGTTTTACGTGCTCCACTGGGGCCTGGGTGTCCCAGGAGTAAGTCCATGGGACAATATTCAGAACAAGAAAACAAACCACTGATCACTTTCCCCTGCTGGTCTGTCCCAGGAGACTTCAGCTGGGGGGTGAGGGTGCTGAAGGCTGCCCCCCTAGATATGACTGGCTGGTGAATACACATTGGCTTTACACCCTTCCCATGCTTGAAGAATGCACATGGATACTTACTAATATGTGGTTGGGCTGGTGAGGAGAGGGGAGGAACTAACTTTGCTTCGAGTCTACTACGTGCTAAGTTATAATACCACGTGTTACCTAGATTAACTTTTTGAAATGTACGACAACCCTGGGAAAAAGAGATTACCATGCTCATGTTACCAAGAAGTAATTAGGCTCCCAGAAGTTTAAGGTAGGATACTCACTGCCCCCTCATAAAGTACTGCACCTCTTATTCGATTGCCTATCAGGACTGCTTTGGACGGTTGTATAGAGTGTGTACTGCACAACTCCGAGCTCTATTCACATAGGCTTCTGGGAAATTTAAAGGCTCATGACCTGCACAGTTGTGTGAAATAAGTGCTGGTGGGAAAAAAGAAGGAAGATACAACCTTGTGTACAAAACATGTATATATTTATATAGGTATCTACATAAATTATCTATCTATATAGATTATCTGTATATTTATATAGCTATATAAATGTGTGTCTATCTAGCATGTTATAGAATATTATTAAGGTTATGATGGAATTCTGAATGCAAGTGTCAAGATTTGAAATTTAAATACAACAAACTGTCCCTTTGTGTGTCCCATGCCGGCTCTCTGTAGAGAAGGGGCTTAGACTTCTTTCCCAGAGGTAGTCCGCGCCGTCACATGCCCGTCTTCCTTCCCCAGCCTCGTCCTGTTTGCTGCTTCTGGCCCCTGCCAGTAGCTGTGACACGGTCACTCAGCGTGGCTCAGATGTAGCACCTCCACTTCTGCTTTGTCCGAGTCAGACCCTGGCCACCCCCAGCTTTGGCCACGCCAGCTCAGTCCTCATGGCTTCCTGAGGCTCAGTCCGAGGGTCCACCCCAAATTTCAGCTTCATTGCTCCTCCCTCCTTGGTGCTGGCAGCTGGCAGCGGTCTCGCCCCGTTATGAGGCTAAGCTCGGACGAGGAGAGGTGGAATACTAACTTAAATGGTGCTGCCTCTGCTGAAAGTCTTTCTGCAGCTTCTCTGGAAGAGTTTCTTTTTTGTTTTTTTGAGACAGAGTCTCGCTTTGTTGCCCAGGCTAGAGTGAGTGCTGTGGCGTCAGCCTAGCTCACAGCAACCTCACACTCCTGGGCTCAAGCAATCCTGCTGCCTCAGCCTCCCAAGTAGCTGGGACTACAGCCATGCACCACCATGCCCAGCTAATTTTTCTATATATATTAGTTGGCCAATTAATTTCTTTCTATGTATAGTAGAAACGGGGTCTCGCTCTTGCTCAGGCTAGTTTCGAACTCCTGACCTCGAGCGATCTGCCCGCCTCGGCCTCCCAGAGTGCTAGGATGACAGGCATGAGCCACCGCGCCCGGCCTCTGGAAGAGTTTCTTTAGAGCTTTGACTCAGACATCTGTTCTTTCTTCAGACTTCACCGTTGACGAATGAATGTGCATTTGGCAGGCAGACCAAAGCCACTGGAGGAAGGGGGTAAGCTGAGTCAACCAAAGCAAGATGTGCTTTTAAAAATGGGAAGCTGGTATCCTGCTGCACCCTGGAACCTGTCAATGATGGCGTATTTTCTCCATTTAGAAATAGGACGACATTGAGAGATGTTCTACAAAACAACTGACCAGTACTCATCAAAATTGCCCAGGTCATGAAAGACAATGAAAGATCGAGAGCAATCACAGATCGGAAGAAACTGAGAGACATGACAACTAAATGCAATGTGGAATCTTGGCTTGGATCCTGGAGCAGAAAAAGGATGCTAGTGGAAAAACTGATAAAATCCTAATGAGATCTGTAATTTAGTTAATAGTATTGTATCAATGTTAATTTCCTGATGTTGATCATTGTACTATGAATATGTGCACTGCAAACATTAGTAGAAGCTGGATAAGAGTATGCATGAATGCTGTGCTATTTTTGTAGTTTGTAAGTCCAAAATTATTCCAAATAAAAAGTAAAAAAATAAAATGTGGACAGAGCACCTCATCTGGGGATAAAATGATATTCAATGTCATCTTCTTCATCATCCCATTGCCTGTTGGCACCTTGCATAGTTGCAGAGGAAATATATCTCCATCTCCTTACCCCAAAGCATGTTGCTGGCACTGACTCCTCCAGCTTGAGAATGGCCAGTCCCTGTTACTACAACTGTCCCAATAACCCATATTCATCATCCATCTTCAGTTTCCGCCATGGCGTCTCTGATATAAACCCACTTCCCACTGTCCGTCTTCACTCTCAGACTTGTTTTCACGGTTGCGATAATCACTCACACAGCAGACCCCTTTCCTGGAGTTTCCAGCCACTGGCAAGCTCCCTCCTCCCAATGGGCTCCAGCTGAGCCCTTCAGCTAGCAGACAACAGCTATCAAACTAGGATTTCACATGCACCTGAGCAAAGGCAGTATTGTTGGAAGTAGTGTGTAGCCTTCCGAAGACATTAACTATTTTGAAATGCCACATCCTTTGAAGCATATGGGTGAATTTGTTGCAAATGCAGTTTCACCACTTTACAGCCATGACTTTTGTGTATTTTGAGTGGCTTCAAACTTGATTTCTAGCTAAAGTCAATATGAACCAATTAGAGAAATCTGGATAAAGATGCATCGCATTCCATTTAAAACCATTTGTTCAATACCACCATGTAGCAGATGTCATTCTATGCTAGGGGAGCACAAAGATGATTAAGACATGGTCTTTGTCTTTGAATAGTGCAAAGTGTGGTGGGATGGTACACTTGCCACAGTACAGAGCTTAATGCAAATGGGGAGGGAGGGAGAGAGAGAAGCAAAACCATTTTTATTTATTTATTTTGGAGCAATGAAAGGGCACTTGATAGATGCTATGCAGAATATTAATGAAGTTAGAAGAAGGAAGTGGTCTCTGAGTGAATCTCACCTTGATACACACTACTTGGAATAGAAGCTCACGTTTCTCTCCGAAGTTCCTTCTTTTCAAAGTCCTTCTCTATATAATCCATTGGGCAGTAATGTTCCTTTAACACAGTGTACCCTGATTTCCAATGTGCTGGCCTATTGGGAGCCCCTGCCCATCTCAAGATTCTAAATCAATAGAACCGACTAGCTTCGCCTTTATTGCGTCTGCTTCATTTAGAACAAGGATGTCTGGGTCTTGCAGAAAGGAGGATAGTGGACAATGGGTGGGGCCAGGGCCACCATGTCACACAACCCTGGGGCACCATGCACACGGAATACATAGCGAGCATTGCCTTCTATGCTAGGGCCAAGGGACCTGGGCCACAGGAGACAGTGTGGACTGTCATCTATAGGGTACACTGTTTCCCATTATGCCACACATAGGTCCTGAGAGGACTCAGATTAGTGGAACATCCAGAGGGCCACAGTGAGATTGGAGCCACTTCTGAAGCCAGAGGGTAACTCACAGGATTCACAGAGCCACAGAGAGCCCCAGAAAGGAGCCAGGCCATTGGGCAAAAGCACCCTTGAGGAGCTCCAAGTCCCTGGAGGCCAAGCACGGGGACCCTGCCCACCCCCTCCATCAGCATTTCTTGTCCACTGTACAGCTGAGGAGTGACAATGAATATTCATCCCCCAGCTCTTCCAGAGTCATTTGACTCTCTGCATATGCAAAGTCGGAATTGACTTGGGTTGGCAGGGAAGGAAGATTCCCCCGAAGAAAACATCCGAGGGAGCGGGTTGAGCTGGTGGGGAAATGAAAGTCGGCAATGCAAAAAGGGAGGAATATTATAGAAGTGACTTCCATTTCTGCACCAGCTTGCAAGATGCCATCCTTGGGGAAGGAACGTTCAGACCAAGGAAACACAGCCTTGGCCTGAAGACAGGCTAAGTAGAGTTCTTGCGCACGCATTCATCCGCCTCTACCAGACTCTAAGGCAGAAAGAAAAGGAATATAAATAAATTGTATCTTTGCCTAGAGGCAATTAAAGGTTGGTTGGATAACAATATAAACAGAGCAACAACTCATATTTGAGAAATATTGTTCCTTTAGAGCACCACTGCCTGCTAAGTGCTTTGCATTTTTTATCTCATTTAATCTCCATAATTACCTTGCCAGGGCAGTTGCTGCTTGTCCCCATTTTACAGGTGAAGGAACTGAGACTCAGAGAAGTTGTGTCATTGCTTCAAAGTTATGCGCCTAATAAGAGGTAGACTCAGGTTGTGAATTCTGGTTTTATGAGACCTAAAGTCTATGTTCTTGCCTTACAACTGTTCTGCCTCCTAAAACATGATTTAAAGAGAATCTCAATTATTTCAGGACTTGTGGGATAGACACTGAGTCACACCGTGGTGGCGGGTAATCAGAGAAGATTCCCCACCAGGGCCAGCTCAGCCCGGGAAGACATCCAGGTATCAACCATGCTTGAATTATGAAGGCTTTTAAGAAGCTCTTTGCCTGTTGGCTCCAACTAAACTAGGCAACCCCTTAAGGGACAGGTTTGGCTCCACCGTTTCTTAAGAGAAGTACAGTCTAGTGTGATCGGGGGTCTCTGTCCTGCACCTGGGCACTACAAGCCCAGAAGGGAGGCCACAGTGCTTCATACTTGCCCCCAGCCAGGCAAGGTGCTAGACACACGACATGGAATAAACCATTCCATGTTTGGCACAACATTGCCACCAACTCCCATTTACTCAAAAGGATTGGATCCAAAGAGACGATTGGAGAGCAGAATCGAATTACTCAGAGCCACACATTTAGTAAATGCAGAGCTCAGATATTAATCCCAGCAGTCCAGCAAGAGTCTGAGCTCTCCCAGTGTGGGCAGCAGAAAGTACTCATCAGAGTGTCCCACGCGTTCAGGAGGGATAGAGTGCCTCTTCCGTGCACTCCAGGAGTTCGCACAATCTTTGCCATTTACACCAGTGGCCAGAACCGGGAGGGCCTGGGAAGGCCCTCGTGGACTGCTGGGGAGACTGAGGCCCAGCAAGAGTCAGGGATCCGTTCATTGTCAACGCAGTGACTTAAGGCTAAGCTGAAAACAAGTCAGTCACTAAGATGTCTTGAGTATAGCGCTTCTCTCACCCACTCACTCACCATACACCAACTGATTGTCTACTCTACCCACTTGATTAGTCCCATTTTGCAGATGAGGAAACTGAGACCTATCTAAGGTAGAGGACTTGCCCAAGCATTGAAGCTGGGATTCAAACTCAGCTCTGAATAACTGCAAAATGAGGGCTCTTAACCACTCAGTGACGCTGATGTGAGTCTTGTAATGGTGACACCAGGCAAGAGGTGAGGGCACCCAAGAGGAGAAAGCACTCATTCTGCTGGTATCTGTTTTCTACTCGGTTGTGTGTAATACTGGAACTTTATTGCTCACGCGTGCATGTGCACACATGCGCACACACACACACACACACACACACACACACAGGCGGCTTCTCTCAGTCTGTCCTCCCACCTCTCCCCTCCCTCCTCATAGGCCCAGCAGGCTTTCCCACCCATTATCCAAATGTGCTCTGGGTTCGCACCCAGAAGCTTAATTTCACATCTGGCAGGAAGCAATTGTGCAAAGTTGCTGAATTCTCCTCTCCACCCCCTTAGGGGGTTCATCAAACCCTATCATCCCAGAAGTTTCAAAATATTTTCCATTCTCCAGCAAAAACAAAAGTAGCACAGCATTGGAAAGTCCATAATAATAAAACCTAAACCCAAATCAGCTTTAAAAACAAAATTATTATCATTTTTTTTGGAATCTGTGTGGCTTTAGGTTTTGCCCAAGGGGCATGCGGCTAAAAAAGCCCATGTACCCGATGTCGGCTGGGGTGAGGCTTTGGGAGGAAAAGATCTCTGAAACCCTCACCAAATGGAGAGGGCCGCCGACTGCCATGGTCTTACCAGGGTAGCATGGAAGTGCAGAAGGATGGGAATAAGATTTGTTGAGTGTCTTCTGCCGCAAAGCACATGCCACGTGTAGCATCACTGTACCCTCATGTGTGACATATAATCCACTATACCTGTTTTGCAGGTAGGATTCTGGGCTAAGAATCCAGGATCCTGAGACTTAGTCCTGGGCCTGCTGCTAACTGACTACCCAGCCTTAAATTAAACCACAAATCCAGAATGGGTCTTTGGGCTTGTCGAGCCCTGAATATCCAGCCTAAGGCCCCCAGAGCCTCCTAACCGCACCCCTAGCTGAGACTGAGACTGCTACTTGATCACACTGCTCTTTCCTAGCAATCCTGCATGAAACTTCAGAATCCTTCTCAAAATAGCCTTCTAGGTGACCACCTCCTGTGCATTCCAATTGGCACAAGAGATTAGATCTATTTGCCCTACCTGACCTGGGTCCAGGTCTTCATTTTTGAGATGAGAAAAATCAAGGCACAGAGAGGGGGAGTAACCTCGTGAAGATCACACAGCAAGCCAGAGGCAGATGGGTCTAGAAGCGAGGGCTCAGGGCCCAAAGTGCATCGCCCAGTGCAGCTCCTCATGAAAGAAGTGGTCGTGCAAACCCTGTGGCAGCAGAGCTCATTTCCACTGTTTTTGGCCAAATGGATTTAAATCCTGGAAGCAGCTCCTCAGGCTCATACCTTCCAAAATGCCCCCTTCCTCTGCACTGGCCGTGCGGCCAACAGGAGCACGGTCCCC